GATTGTTATTTTGAGTTACTTTTAAAAGCATATTTGCACTTTAATTTGTATTACTATTTTGTTAAGTTATAATGATGTTTACATGTTTACACAACTTGTTACTCAAATACATTTGAATTCAAGATTTTTTGGGGGGGGAAAATAATCATTAGATTAGTCGATTAATCGAAATGATCGTTAAATGCAGCCCTAATTATTCGGCTATAAAAGTAGAGTCCATCACTTATCCGAGAGTACAGCTCCAGAACCACGGCTGTGCGTAGAGGTAAGAGCCACAACGAAAGTACTGTCTTAAGTAATTAACTAATTAGATGTAACACATGTTGTCCCACTGCTCTTGAAGAAGTCCTTAAAAGTCTGATCTCTAAAACATTTCTGTGGATCGTTTTGATTCAACGTCATCAAAAATGTGTTGGTATCTCATTGTTTTTAGAAGACGTGGACTATTTTACTTATAAGCCGTGTGGCTTAATATGTCAAGATACATCCTAAATCACTGGGCCTGTTCTCACCAAATTTGTAGCATATTAAAAGATCAAACTCTCCCCTGAGATAAAACCTGATTCATTTTAAATGCGGGCAGTGGACTGTAGTGCCCCCTCGTCACCACGTAGCGGCCGCTGACTCATTTCACCGTTTTAATGATTCACTCCTGCGGAAATTGTTTTTACAAGGAATATCTTTTTCTACTATGAATGAATTCTTTTCTTTGAAGCTGCACTAAACATTTAGTTGTATATTTGTAGTGGACTAAATGTGAATCAGGAATCAGGAAACATTTATTGCCAAAATATGTCAAACATACAAGGAATTTGTCTTGGCGGTTAGTGCGCGACAGTAGACAGTGTAACAATAGACAAAGACAGCAGTGCACAAGTAATAAAATAAAATGCTAATGCAATGGGTTAGTAGGATAAGGCTATGGGTTAGTATAAAACAAGGGAATAAAGTTAAGTTAAAAATGTAAAATATTTTTTAAAAAGTTTGAAAATATTAAACATAAAGTGCACTAGCGAACAAGTGACAAGGTGACGACAAAGTGATGAATTACAGTTAAAGTGACGTGTGCAGTGTGAAGGGGAGTGACCAGTGGAATGTTATAGTCAGTCAGTGGGGGACCGGCTCTGTTGATGAGCCCGACTGCCGACGGGAAGAAACTGTTGGTGCGGCGGGAGGTCTTAGTCCTGATGGACCTCAGCCTCCTGCCAGATGAAAGGGGCACAAACTGGTTTTGTCCGGGGTGAGAGGGGTCGGCCGCGATCTTTTTAGCTCGCTTCAGAGACCTGGAAGCGAACAAGTCCTGCAGGGACGGCAGATTGCAGCCGATCACCCTCTCTGCAGAGCGGAGGACACGCTGCAGCCTGCCCTTGTCCTTGGCTGTGGCTGCAGCGTACCAGACGGTGATGGAGGAGCAGAGGACGGACTCCATGATGGCCGTGTAGAAGTGGACCATCATCGTCTTTGGCAGGTTGAATTTCTTCAGCTGCCTCAGGAAGAACAACCTCTGCTGAGCCTTCTTGGTGATGGAGCTGATGTTCAGCTCCCACTTGAGGATGAGGGTGATGATGGAGCCCGGGAAACGGAAGGAGTCCACAATAGTGACGGGGGAGTCACACAGGGTGATGGGGGAAGGTGGGACTCTGTTCCTCCTGAAATCCACAACCATCTCCACTGTCTTTAGAGCGTTGAGCTCCAGGTTGTTCTGACTGCACCACGACACCAGATGGTCAGACTCCCACCTGTAGGCGGACTCGTCCCCACCAGAGATCAGTCTAATTAAGGTGGTGTCATCTGCAAACTTCAGGAGCTTGACGGACTGGTGGCTGGAGGTGCAGCTGTTGGTGTACAGGGAGAAGAGCAGAGGGGAAAGAACGCAGCCTTGGGGGGAACCGGTGCTGATGGTCCGAGGTGTCCATGGTGGCCAGTGAAATGAATCAATGAATGCAGCTTGAATATGTCTGCTCAATATAATGTTTATGATTGTATTTGGTGTAAATATAACAAGAAGGAAATGCAATTTCCCTAAATAAAAACGGTTAACCACATTTATATTTTGAAAAAGTGAACTTCACTACGAACAAAAATACGTATTGACCAACCAGTATTTCCCAAGCATCATATCAGGGGGGGGGGGCCCTAAAGTTACCCAGGGGAAACACCGGCCCATTTTAAATCACTGCCTTCTAACATCCTTAAATGTTGGCGCACACCCATGGGACCTTGTTGCCCTAAGTTGTCATTTCATATCTGTCATGCACGCACATCTACAGGCTTCATACACTGTAAACATTTTAGCTTTCGTTTAAGGCTTTACTATTTCTTGTGAGTACGGCTGTCGGCATTGGCTCCCCCTGAATTCATTAACGAAGCTGTCAATCAGGCATTACAAAAGGTACTGGCCAGGGAGGAGCAGGGCCCATTTAGTGAGAAACATCAGAATTTTCCCAATGGCAAGATACAAAGAAACCAGTGAGGTGAGACGAGTAAAGGTTTGCCTACGGGCAGATGTAAGGTATAGATCTCACTGCCATATATGCTTTAGATGTCTGCTCATTTGGTTTATCCGATGTTTGTTTTTCCTACGGAATCCTCTCATACATCCTTCTTCTTCATCACTCTGTTTCAACGTTCAGGAAAAGTAAGAACCTGCCTTGAATGACTAATTCACCAGGGTTACAGCCCCAGATCTCCACACATTTGTTGTGAAATGTGTGTGTCGGCCTGAGAGACTCACCAGCTAGTATGCATTTCAGTTACACAGAGCCTGAGAATCTTTGTTTGCGGTTATGTGGCCAAACGCATTTCTTTCATATCATTTCTGTTTGTCACAGAGCCAATGCATTTAAGTGAAGTGATGCTGATTTTGGGATCATCAATCCATATCCACTATACATCCAACAGAGAGAGAGTTGTTCCGTTAAGGCCTCCAGCAAAGCCTGAAATGAGGAATTGAATATTGTAAACTGATGACAGAATAGTGACCCATGTTGCTTCCTCCTCTGTTGCCAGTGGCACATGCTCACCGCCCACTGGACAGGCAAATGTTAGCCAGAGCTAAACTGTCAGCAATATAGCAGTATTAGTGAAAAATGTGTCCAAATAGATTATAAAACATGGTTTTGTTCCTTGGTTTGATGTTGTTTTGCATGAATACTGTCTTTGCTTGCTCCCACTTCCTCTTTCTTTTGCATCAGCTCCCCCTTCCTCCTCGATTCCCTCTACTCTTGTCTCTTTTACTTTTTGTCTAAGTGGAATACGCAGGGCTTTGTCTGTGCAAAGTCCGTCCGTCCGTCCGTCCTCTGCTGGCGAGCCGTAGAAAAGGGGACCCACCGAAGAGACTTATATTATGTAATGAGATCATCTGGAGGCTAATGCTGTACATATATACCAAGCAGCCATTAGTGGCTTCACTGTAGCATGACCACTTGTCCGGCCACAGTTGGGGGGTGGAGGGACTTTGGCTGGAGCAGGAGGTCGGCTCATATGCCCCATAATCCCCCGACGTAAAGTGCTTCTGTCCCGCATCTGGCTTGTTATTCAGGAGGTGAGACGTGGATGGAGGACGGGTTAGGGTGAAGCTTTAAGAGGGGGGACGGTCAGATGGACAATAGGACGATAGACATGTTTGTCCCTCCTGTCGATTGTTATTGGGAATTATGCGGTCACGTGTTACATGTAAGAAACCCACGCCCCCCCCTCCCCAAAGCAGGCAGGCAATGGTGGAAGCTGACAGCCATCGTGACGTCACCCTTGTGTGTCGGCTGATGTTTTAACGTTTGTTTCATTTCTCATCTTTTTTGCAGACAAGAAAGGAAATTGATCAGTAATTACAGTGAAGTAATAGTTGGTGCATTTTGGCAATCAATCCAATTTTTGCGAAGCTCCACAATACTACAATTTACACAATGTCCTAGGACTCTTCCCTAAGATCACATAACCAATACAATGCGTGGATTTGCTTTTGTCTTTCTGCACGTCCATTTCTCATCTTCTGTCATTTGTTTGATTTTAATTGAATGCAGCACAAACGCCAGAACAAACAGGTCGCTTCGCCCGCAGGTCCACTTCAGTGCTGTTTTTCTTTGGTCACGCGGTGCCTGTCTGGTGAGTTTGCTCGTCGTTGATTTATTTTCACAGATGCGTGGCTGGAGGCTCGAGCTGAAATAACAACGCGCATCACAACTTGTACCACAGCTGTATATAACATTTTGGCACAGAGGCATTGCCATAATGCTTCTGGCTTCTATTCATCTTCCCACCTTCAGTGACCCCCCCCCCCCATATCAAAGGCCCAAGCAACAAATAACAACCAACAGAACCCCAAACACTGAAAGAAGACCAACAGCTGGAACTAGTAGGTTCTGACCCCCGAATGCGTTTCCAAATGTCCACAACTGTTGTTTCCAGAGACACACCACCCGATAGAAGACACCAAAACATTGGCTAAGCTCAAAACGCTGTCCAGAAGCCTGGAGCCACTTACGCCTACACGGCGACAGGCCCTGCTGGACTACAGAAGGACCCGGGCCGAGACATAAGCGTGTACCGTCTATGACATTCCCAGAGCGAGAAGGCCTTAAACTGTCATTGGGTCAATATCACCGGGGTGGACGGACAAAGTCACGCCTCTCACACAGCGTCCCTGCTGTCCTGCGCCTGTACTGTAAATAGTCCGGCGGAAAGTGGGTTTCTGTTAAGTAATTCAAGCGGCACAGTGACCGCTACCATTTCCAGGGGATTATTAGTTACAGATGTTGAGCTGCAAGAAGGCAGCAGTTCTGAATGTGTGCAATGACACAGAGGCCCAAACTAAAGAATGCATTCTGATGTTCCTGTATTGTTCACATTTCAGCTCAGGGTCTCTGTTGGTCCTCGTTGGTCTCACTGTGCTCAGATCATTTCATAGTTTTGTCTTTGTCACAAATAAGCACAATCAACACTCACAACAACAGCCATGACATTGCCAGTGTTTCTCTACGCGTCTTTCCGGTGCCGCTCACCTGCTTTCTGTGCCGCGGACTCGAACCCTACGACGAGCCCCAGCAGCCCCCCCGCGAAGCACATCTGGATGGCGAACAACTCCTTTCGCTTCCTCCGCCTGGCTTTGCTCCTCCGTCGGTTCAGCATCACTCCTCCTCCTCCGCGTCCGACGGCCGTCTCCGGCATCCCCTGGACCCCCACGCCGGCCATGGCGCTCTTCTGTCGGCGAGCGTTCCGGCTCAACCCCCCCGCCGCGGTGGGCGCTGAAGTAGGAGAACGCGAGGCGAGGCGGACGCGGACGGAGAGACGTCCTGCGCGGACACTCGAGTTGCTCGACGAGGGAAGATACGAGCGGCGCGTCACCGGGTTTGTGAAGCTCACCGTGCTGTTAAAAGCGGAAACGTCCGTTCGGGAGTTTCAGAATAAAACCCAACATTGGTGAAATTGAAAGCAAACGTTAGCTAACTCAACATAGTTCAAAACGAGATTATTCATCTTGAATTGATTTATTTTCAGTACACTCAATTTAATACAGGTTATATAGTTCCAATAGTATAATATAGTATACTAAAAAGGCCTTTGTATTTTCAAATGGAAAGATGCCCATCAACTGAACATGTTGTTCCTGATAGGCAGACCCGTGTAAACAGAAGGCCTATTAATGATGATCAGCCATCAGAATGTAGATATCAATTTGTAGTAGTAATCTGTTCTGTTAATCTTTTACATCGTCTGAGAAGGTGAAATGTGAGTAGAAATCAGAATCTGAATCCATATACGTCAACTCAATCTCAAGAATGAATGATGTATTTTATATAGAATTTGAATACACCAGTCATATATCATCATTATTATTCAATATTTACCATTATGCCATAAGTGGCAGTAAAAGTCCTGAAGTTGAAAAGGTTATATAAATGATTAACTATGTGCTTGTATTTTGAAATTCAAACAGTGTTTTTTTAAGCAGTATTCGTGTTGCTGTCTGCCAGCATCTAAACACATACATGATTGTTTGTTCGTACGATTCAAGATATTTGTTGTCATGTGTACAGTTTAACAAGTTACTCTGTACAATGAAATTCTTATTTCGCTATGTCCTTCTACATGATTAAGTACATTCAATTTAAATGAATTAAACCGAACTTACCTCAATTGCCTATAAAATGTGTGAAATGGTGTTATAAAAAAAATACATAATATCATGCTGTAATGCTTTTATAAAAATGTTAATGTGTTAATTTTTTCAAAAAGTGTCAACTTAATATTAAAAAACAGCATTCAAAAATGATACGCAGATGATAGATACTGTTTATAATTTTTTGTTGGTATTGCATCATAATGACACAGCGACATTATCTCATGTCTAAAACTATAGTTTACTTTTGCATGAGCTATTCCTTTTCCCTGGTACATCATGAATTCATTTAATCCCTCATGCAGAGTAACAGCCATTTATCAACGTCTTCTTGGGAGTTAATTACTCCCTGTGTAACAAAAGCTCTTTTGCAGGGGAAGGCCAGTATTAACCGGCACGTGCACAGACATTTTGGGGGGCAGGTGCTCAAACCAAAGCAAAATTGGCATCAGCAAAATTATTACCAGTTGCAACGTAATGTTTCAGCGGCACTAATGTGATTCATTTATCACCAAACAACGTCACGGCATTCTACAAACACCGTCATCACCTGTTTGTCTGATGACGCTCAGCACTGGAGAACAAGTGGAGGAGGAGGGAGGAGGGAGTGGGGGGCGGGGCTTGTGAGCGCCGCACAGCATGTCAGGGTCATTTTTATTCTTCAATATGGATGAAAGAAAAAATTGGGCTCCATGCGAAGGGGCACTTTTCTCATCCAGGGCAAAAGGGCAGGTGCTTGAGCCCAACCAGGGGTCTATCTGTGCACGTGCCTGATGAACAACACCATTGGAAAATTGATGATATTTTCCCCCAAAACAGAGACTGCCGATTAGGGCTAAAAGTCACTTGTCATTTGATTGGCTGGATAGTTTTATTCTGGCAGCACAGCAGAGAAAGAACATTCAAGAGAAAGTAAACAATCATGAGATTGTCATGTGACATTAAGTGGTCACCCAACATGTGTAAAAATGTAAATTCTTTTGTTGTTCCACCATCGCAGGAAGGATGGACGGAAACAGGAGATCCATAATGCCATATGAGTGATTGAAGGCAGTGTGGTAGAGCTCCCAGATTACACCCACAGGCCCTTGACCCAAGCCCCACACACACACACACACACACACACACACACACACACTAACACACACACACACGTGATGGAAGGGGCATAATCCTCATCCGCCGCAAACACGTCTGACAGCTGTGATTCGAGACAATGACATGGAGTGTGCTGGATTAGGACGCCGTGAGGGATTTTTACCCTACCGGTTTACTTATTACAATACAGTCGTCACCGTAAGGCTTAGTTTCTTTACTCTAGGAAAAATGTCAGCATACTGACATGACATATTCTGTTGCAGGGCTTTAAAGTACATATGTTGTGTGGATGAGATCGGCTCATTAGCTTTAATGCCCAACTTTGACGGCACGTCCCAAAAAAAAGTAAAAGGTCAGAGTGCATGCAAGTTTTACTTCCTTTAACACATATTACATATGGTAATGATATGGCTACTCACAATGTTATACATGCACATAATGTAACTAGAAGAAATTGCAATGTGAATGCTAATGAATACGCTATTGATTGCTGATTTATATCTACACACCAAATGTCTAATTTAAATGTGTATGAAGAAGGTGGAGTAGTATTGAATAGGTTGTGAATTTGACTTCCAGTGAAAAATGTAATTTTGAATAATCGTAATTGCTTATCTTGCTTCCCACAGGAAGGAATACAGAACCCAGCACAAAGAAAAGCATTTTTGCGCAAAAAAGATTTATTACAAGATTGATCTTGGGTTTCCTTTTTGGCAGCTTTGCCTGGACAATTGCTGGGTTATGCTCCTGGCAGTGTTGTGTGAGGCCAATTTCAATCCTCTTACAGTGTGTTTGCTAAGATAAGCTAATCGCCTCCCTACTTTCCTTGAACAAATGTCAAATTATGATAACATATTCTGTTCATTTACACTTATTAGGGATTAATTTGAGAGCACACAATCAACATTGTATGATAACAAAGGAGTAGTTCACAGGGACCATGCTATTGCTTTTTTCAGATTCGCGGATGACACCCTCCTTCATTGGACTCAACTATAAAGCGCATGATGCCGCCTGCCGTCCAGGGACCAAACAGCTCGTAGCTCAACGCTCTCAAGCAAAGGTTTTGGATTTTTCAGTAGAATGCAGATGCTCCCGCCCCTATTACCCTGTACGTCTCCCAGCATCGCTCCATTGTAACCCAGAGATGCCACGAAAGCTCAGCAGAGGACCTACTTCCTTAGGGCAACAGTAGACCTAAACCTGCAAAACACAATGATGGTAAACTTCTACGCTGCCATAATTGAGTCCATCCTTCTCCTTACCATCTGGTATGCTGCTGCCACCGCCAAGGACAAGGGCAGAGGGTTAGTGAATTCAAAGCTGGCAATCCTCTATGATTGGTAGTTCTGGCACAAAATATTCTTTTTGGGGTACCTTCCCTCTGTTGAAGGCCGTGATTCATCAGGACCAAGACTTTCCTGTCCACAGTTATTTCAACGTACACTTAATTCATTCCGAATTCCGGTTATTGTCTTATATAAAGTACTATATTAATGCTTATCGTTATGCACTGATCCCCAAGCCAAATTTCTTTGCAAATGTATTTGACAATGAAACAATTCTGCTTCTCACCTCTCTTAAACTCTTAAACACAGGCGCTCCATCGGGGGCCCTTAGCTTCACCCTGTGACACTTACAACACTACTGTTAGTGGAAGAATGGAGACCAGGTAAAACATACCTTATTTTTATTCTGTATTCCCCCTCTAGCGTCTCAGGGATGAAAAGTCAGTTTCTACTTGTTGTCAGGATCCCACCAGCTTCAATCACTCCTCCCACTCGTTCACAGTCCCCTGAATTCTAATCACCATCACCTGCACCTCATCAGTTCACCTTTTATATGTGGCTCCTCTTCCCACACTCAGTGTCTGGTCTCATCTCTACAGGACACCACAGACTCCAAGCTACGTTCCTGAAATCCCTACCGGCTGATCCAAGGGACTCTTCCAGTCCGTGACCTGGAACTCGGACTATGTCCTGTTAACGTTCCATCCTGATCATCTGCCTGCCTATTCCTCATATCTCCGTCTGCTTCCATTATAGTGTCAATAAACTATTGAACTCGCCTCACGGCGGTCTCCTGTCCCCCATTCGTGACACTTGTTAAATGCATTGTAATGGTAAAATATATTATAACATTGTTTTGTACTAAAGTCGTGTCTCAAGTGTCCTGAGCTGTTTCAAGTTCCCGGCTCCTATCCCCATGTCTCACTGTCTAAAGGACGCCTTGACCAATGGAGGGATTTGGGACCATTTGTGGCTCAGTGTGAATCTCTCACTGACTGGGAGGAGACAATCGATCCGCTCGTTCTGCGCTCCGCCTCTACAGGGTTTCACAGAACTCACTGTGTACTCCTCACACCAGCTTGTTGATCTGTCTATGTGTTTTATGAGCACAACAACAAAGTTGAAACATTTTTAACAACTCCCACATCGATTTCTCCCGCTCTTGCTTCTGTTCCACAGACACTCTGGGCAGCACACAAATATGATGTAGGCTTGATCAACAACTGCCAACCGGTCGTCATCACTCCACGTTCTGACTTCCGCCCCCACAAACACCAGTACCCCCTGCGACAAGAGGCCATTGACGGTATCACACCCGTATTCAATTCGCTCCTGAAAGCAGGAGTGATAGTTCCTTGTCCAGTCTCACCGGTCAGGACGCCAATATTTCCAGTGAAAAAAATCTGAGATGCTGGCAAGCCTACAGAATGGCGTTTCGTGCAGGACCTAAAAGCAGTAAATGCGGCCGTTCATGCACGGGCACCAAATGTTCCTAATCCTTACACAATCCTGGCTCAGGATCCTCCTGAAGCTAAATGGTTTTCTGTTGTTAACCTGTCGAATGCTTTTTTTCAGCGTGCCAGTCGACAGAGACAGTCAATTTTGGTTTGCATTCAACTTCAACGGTAAGCCGTACACTTTCACTCATTTGTGTCAAGGCTATACTGAATCACCCACAATCTACAATGATGCGCTCAGAGAAAGCTTGGAGAGCTTAACGCTCTCTCCCGGCTCTGCACTTCTGCAGTATGTTGACGACTGTTTGATTGCAGCTCCAAATCAGGCACAGTGTCAGACAGACACGCTTAAAATACTCAAACATTTAGCGAAGGAAACTCCCCGAAAAGAATCGACTCGATCAATATCGAAACTGGAATGGAACAATTATCAAACTTAATCCATGGGAAAAATCTTACAGCACACGATGAAATAATCTGGACTGAAGAGGGTCTTGCGGCCTTCACACAAATGAAATGTGCTTTGCAAACTCCTCCGACTCTTGGACTGCCGAATCCGAATAAGCCATTTACTCAAACAGTAGATGAAAGACGGGGCTGCATGACTTCTGTGCTGCTACAACCCCAACTGCCTCACGTGACATAGTGGGTTACGCACCACTCACTCTGCTCGTTCCGCACGTGGTTTCTTTGATTCTCCTTGAACAGAAATCATCTCACCTCTCTGCGGCTCGCTATTTGCGGTACCACACGTGTCTCCTGGACATGCCAAATGTCACTATAAACGTTGTACTAACCTTAACCCTGCATCCTTACTTCCTATTCCTGGGGATGGGGAGGACCACAACTGTGGCTGAGCTCCAAGCTCAGTGCACTCCTCGCCCTGACCTAGTGGACACTCCACTAACTAACAGCGATATGGTAATGTATGTGGATGGATCCGCCTCCCGGGATCCTCAGTATGGTGAAAATTGTGTTGGTTTTGCTGTTCTTTCTGACTCTGGTATACTGTGTTCAGGACCTCTGCCAAGCTCATCAGGTACACAAGCTCATCGCTCTGACCGAGGCCTGTAAACTGGCTAAGGGTAAAACAGTCACAGTTCACACTGACTATGCGTTTGGTGTAGTACATGATTTTGGGGCGCTGTGGAAACACAGGGACTTCCTTAAATCGGACGGTAAGCCCATCCTACACCACACTCTCATTGCTGAACTGTTGGAATCCATCTTACTACCCACAGCTATTGCTGTCTGTAAATGTGCTGCCCACACATCCAATACGGATGATGTATCACGGGGAAATGCTTGAGCCGACTCAGCTGCAAAAGCTGCTGCTCTGCTTCCGCTTCCCACTACCTGTGCTCTCATGTGCTCTGGAGTCAGTTCCCTCTTCTCTTACAGCGATGCAGTCACTCTCTACCACTGATGAAAGACTGATTTGGTCCACATCTGGCTGTGTTTACACCAACGGCCTCTGGACTGGACCCGAGGCCAAGCCGTGTTTAACTAAACACTATTTTGCTCATTATGCTAAATTGACTCATGGATTAGACCATGTGTCAAAAAGGGGAATGTTACGCGCACTTAATGAGACGTGGTTTACAAAAGGGTTCACAACATATGCACAAAACTTTTGTTCTGCATGTGTCACCTGTTCTACTCATAATGTAGGCGGGCCCGTGGGCGTGTCCAGCCAGGCTGCACACCGACCACCAACCCGCCCGTTTGAGCACATTATGATGGATTTTGTGGAGTTATCTCCATCTGAAGGTAAGAAACACTGTCTAGTGATGGTAGACATGTTTTCCAAGTGGGTTGAGGTTTTTCCATTGAGTAAACAAACCACTGCAACAGTAGCCAAGGCCCTAATTTCTGAAATCATTCCTCGATGGTGCATTCCTTCTAAAATATCAAGCGACAACGGTTCTCATTTTGTCAACCAGGCCATTACAGAATTAAGCGCATACCTGGGTATTGATTTAAAAACACACTGTGCATACCATCAAGCCAGTGGAGGAGCTGTGGAACGAGAAAATGGCACACTCAAAACCAAATTGGCAAAATCCTGTGCAGACACAGGTCTGCCCTGGAGAAAAGCCCTGCCTCTAGTGTTGATGTACATGCGCATGAGAAAACAAACACGAAGCAACCTGAGTCCCTTCGAGATATTGTTTGGTTTTCCTCCTCATGTAGTCCCCGAGGCACTGAAGGCACCGCTCCCTTCAACCGCATAATGCGAACATGAAATGTTAACATATTGTGCACAACTCTCTTCTGCTTTGTCTAACATACGACAACAGGTTGCAGCCGCACTCCCAAAACCAGCTGAAGGACCACTCCACAAACTGAAACCTGGTGACTTTGTGGTGGTGAAAGACTTCAGGAGAAAAAACACAAAGCACAACGCTGGCAGGGACCATTCCAGGTCGTCCTTGTCACCCAAACAGCTGTCAAAGTAGCTGAAAGGGCAAGGTTGACCCTGATGTGCAAAGAGCAGCACGATACAAAATGTTAGTTTGCAGCTGTGCCCTGAGAAGGGAGGGCGGTCAACTCGAGCTCATAGAAGCTTCAAAACAAAGGACTTCTGTTCATGGCCTTGGTTCATATCTTACTCGGTATGAAGTTCCGGATCCACGTTTTACTTTATGTCAATTAATTATGATTTGCACCGGCCACTGAGGAGGATCTTGTGTGTGTGCGTGTGTGCTACCCACAGCTTCCCCTGGGTTCTTATCTCAACCTGCTTTGCTGCTTCTCGTAACTGGCACGGAGAATGTCCTTCACATGTGTATAAAAACTCAGCGTTTTTACTGCTCGGAGACGCCATTTCCACAGAGCACCGTGATACGTGCCTGTGTATTTGACCTGCTTGCAAGCAATAAATGGACTTTTTGCAACTTTGATCATTCATCAAGACAAATCATTCCCTTCTACCGAGCTTTTATTGAAATATTCCACAACACATCTCCCACTCAATCTTTGCAGTAACATACTGGGAAGGTTGCCACTTCAAAGTCAAACTCAAAGGGGAAACTTCCGTCCACCTTCTACACTGGCCTCTGGTCGTCCTTTTACCTGTTGAAGAGCAGTCGCCGGACATCCCTGTGAAGGACAGTAGCTCGGACCTCCCAAGTTTTGTCCATGAGGTTTTGGTTTCTCTGTGCTTCCAGCTCTCACCACAGGAACATTGTAGCCTGGAAAGACCTTCACATTTACATCCCTCACAATGCCTTTGCGGTCTGGATTGGTGCTGATGACTCTGCCGAGCTTGAACTGCCCCCTCATTGCGTTTTGGTCACACAGCCAGACAATGTCCCCAACAGCGACATTTCTCTCTGTGGTGTGCCACTTGCTTCTCACAAAAAGATTCGGACCATTCAGTTGACTCCAGCTCTTCCAGAACTTGGTCACCTCGGATTGGATCGCTCTAAGCCTTTTGTAAGGGTAGCTGGTAAAGTCAAAGGTTTTAACGTCTCCATTTTGAGAAGCTCGTCCAAGCAAGAGGGAATTTGGTGTAACATACTGAATACTGAATTCCCGGCTCTGCATCCTGGCATCAATTGGACGCTCATTCGCAAGGTTGGCTGCCAAGTACAAAGCTGTGTGAGACTCACTGTAACTCAATAGAGAATCCTTCCCAAGACTCTGGAGTGCCTTCTTCACGATGCGCACAGCAGCTTCTGCAGCACCATTTCTGTGTGGGCTCTCAGCTCTGTCAGCTGGATGGATCTTCCAAGCATGCGGATTCCTCGCAGCTGTCTCCTCCAAGGCAGCTTTGTTCTGGCTGTCCAAGGACCTGTACAGTTCTTCCAGGACTGGCTTTGCGCCTATGAAGTTGGTACCTGGGTCTGACCAGACTTCTTGGATGACCCCGGATTGCTGTAAACCTTTGGTAGGCCATCAGGAACGCTTCAGTGGACACAAAAATTGCCAGTTTGGTGTGGATGGCTCTGCTGGCCAGCAGAATACCACACCCCAGACCTTCAGAGTTACTCTTTTCCTGACATCATCATTCACCTGGTAGGGTCCAAAAAGTCCACAGAGGTATATTCAAAAGGTGCTGCAGGTTCAGTCCTCTCAGGCGGAAAGTCCCCCATCACTTGTTTGCACTTTTTTGCTTTTGCCTTCCTGCAGACTAGGCAGCTGTCGACGACATTTTGGGCTATCCTCCTTCCTCTTACAACCCAGGCCTTTCTTCTCATCTTGAGCAGGGTTTCAGCCACTCCATCATGACCCTCACTATGAGACTCTTGAGCTAGTAATGTAGACACCCATGAGTCGCAATGCAAGAGGGGAATGGCGACACTGTCTCCTTTGAAGCCCTGC